ATGTATCACACTCATCCAACAGTGCAGTAAACTGGGGGAAATTAAGTAACAACCAAGGTTATAAAGCAAATTGGTGGCAGAGCTGGAAACAGAATCCAAAATGGTGTTGACTGTCAGTCTCTAATTCTACAATCAATAGACAATTCCCAACACAGACGTAATTGATATCCACAGAATCCATTTACTGTCAGCACATGCAAACATCATCATCATTTCTATTCTAAAACCAGGCAAAGGATTAAACAAGCCACCCCTTAAAAAGGGACAGTGTTCCTTTTGTCAATCTTTTTGCTGAACGAGATGGGTAAGTACTATAGTTGTATTTCCTACTACATTACCTGTATTCAAACACTTTATTGCAAATGGATGGAGGCTTTTTATATCATCAATAGAACCTATAGTATAGAACAGGAAGCCATAAAACAGAGGAAAATATCTTAGTGAACCACAAACATCTGAACAACGTGAAATTCTGAAATATCTACAAGCTTGCCATGTTGTAACTATCTAGGATGATTACAATAGATATAAGGATAATAAAATATTGGTTAATATCACAGCAGACAGAAAATAAATCAACATCTGCCCTCTACAGCAAGGGGTGTGTGTGAACCTTTATTTATTTAAGAGATAGCTGGAGATCACCCCTTCCCATGGGGGTACATTTTCAAAATGGCTGCTTTGAATTTTATTTTCAAAACAGACAGTTGGATGTAAACTAATATTAAACTATAGAATGTATTTTTCTGTGTACCTAGTAAGATCCAAAATCATTAAAACTGAAATGTTTAAAATGTCTGTTAAATGGTAACTGTTTATGCTGTTTGTTTACAGTTCACATTCACTCAGTCCAACTTGAACAATTAAAAACAGCTAAGTCAAACTGACTTTCTAGTTCTTAGAGCACTAACCTCATGCTGCAATGTCTTGGTTGCAAATATTGCATAATAGTATTTACTTTTGGACAAATAAATTGCACTCTCTTAATTAAATGTTTCTGTTGATCTTAGGTTGTCTAAAACCTTGTTTTTGTCAATCCTAAACTTGGGGTCTAAACTGTCCCACAGTATCCCTTTAATGTTCACTAGCCACATTTATACTTTATCTTCTGCAAAGGAAAGTAAAGAGATAATGCTTACATGTTTCCCTTTTCAAAATAGAAATTGCAAGGAACATTCTGTGTTCCTCAAAATCACTGTTTGGTCATTGTCACTTTGAAGTTAAATGGGGCCTAAAATTTAGATTTTGTAAAAACATGCTTTTACAGAAGTTGAGACTAGATAAATTCTTCTATATTTTAATTCCAATAAAACTACTGTTTTTTAAACAAATTTTAAAAACAGAACATTGCACCATTAAGAACTTGAAATAGAATATAAACAGAAGTGAAAGTGACTACCAAGATTATTATTGTCCAAGCTGAGAGAAATGCAAAAGCACACAGTGACAGGTCAATTGGATTTTTTAAATTCTTTGACTTTGTAAGGCATAACAGCAACATTTGTTCTTTCCAAAGACAACATATGACTTTTAAACAGACAGCATTCCTTTGTCTGTTAGAAAACCAATCCTTCACTTACTGCTGTTTGTAGTTCCTTATTCAAGAATCACACTAGTATTTTGTATTTAAAGTTTGACACAGGAAGTTTTAGAAGGGCATGGGTTAGGGTTAGGGACCTTTGCCTTCGACTTCAACGGGCACAGGATCAGGTCCTAGAGTCTGTTGCTCATTCTTCTCTCTTCACCCCACCCCTCTACCCACTTTACAAATATCCATTTGTTTGCTTTTATAGTACATACTTTCTGTTGTTTTCGTGGTTTGTGCAGCTTTTCAAGTGCTTTGGGAGGAAATGGCTTTATAAATATGTGTTCTATATTTTAATTAGTATTAAGATAGTGAACGTTAATTTTTTTCCTATACACAACTTATCGTACATCTAATTTTAACCACTCTTTCTATTAAAAACTTCCAGAAAAGGTCAGACTTAAGACCTGATCCTGCTCCCACTGAAATCAGCTGGACTGTTGCCATTGATTTCAGTGAGAGGAGTGGGACCTTAATGTTTACTATTTGTTCCTATGCAGAAACTTTTCAAAATACACATTTTACACAATCAGCAAGCAGTTACACAACAGAATATGAAAATGGATGAAGACTTTTAAAGCCACCATTCCAATGCATGCTCCAAAAGAGTGACTCCTATTAGCTTCTCTCCCTCTTGGACCTTATCTTCTACTGCTCAGTTTGATGTGCATCATTCAGAAAGTGAATAGATCTATGTAATCTTTATATATGTACTAATTTTCCAAATATATGGTGTGTTTAGAAAGAAACCGTGAACTGGAAATTTCAAGAGGAAATGTAAGGGTAGGAAACAGCAGAAAATCGAAACAGGAGCTCTTCTGAGGCTGAGCTACATAGTAAGGTAAAATTGCTATACTTTGTCATCACAGGACGCATGATCTCATTTCTGAGCCATGCCCTCTCTAATTAAAAAAAGAACAAAGTAGGATGCTTGAAATAACTGAAAAACAGCTGTTGAATTTTGCCCAGTAGTGGGTCTTGACTGCATATTATGCAAGCCAGTCATTTAACTACTACAGAGTTATAGTCACAGAAAATATGCCTTGACAACATATACTTCCTTGCCAGTGAGATAGCAGTAAAACATCACTTCATTTTTATTTTCACATTGAGTTTAAGACCATCATAACCATTTGTGCCTGTGAGTAACTTTACTCAAGTGAGTATAGCTACTCATCTCTGTAAGCAACTGCAGAATTGAGCCCTTAGCTTGCAAGTGGAAATCATTCCACTTTGGTTTGTTGTTTTATATATATGTGCTTGTTTAAAAGAATCTTTGGGGTTCTTTTGCTAAGAAACTAAAAATGTGCAACCTATATCTGAAGACCATTTAGTATTACTTGCCCTTACTTCATATGCCATCATCACTTAAGAAAAAGCTATTTCAGTCATTTTAGTGCTCAATATTTAATGTAATCACATTGGGCTTGAGTGAATACTTTGAGAAATTGCTTTTTTATGTATTTTAAATGCTAGCTTACATAGCTGGATATACAACAGCTATAAATCTACAGTTATGATTGCATAATCTAATACAGAAATTCCATTTGCAAAAATTGGAGCTTTAACAATTAAAACTGTGAGTAACACCTCTTCAGACAGAGGACTATTGCAATAACATAGTCCCTGTACTCCCTCGGTTTTGAGGCAGATGCTGTCTTCTGCTTCATGAAACAGGTAGCTAGAAGGAGATTTTGCGTTGCCGTCACCAGAAACAAAACTACACCTATAAAGCAGTTCATTCTGAAGCCCATACAGAGATATACATAAAGGTGAAAAATCAGCAAAAGATCAGTGCAGGATCGAGAGATCCCTTCAGAATGTTTTTGCTTAATACTCTTGTCTGCTGAGTCTGAAAAGAGAGACATACAAATTGTGCTGTAGAGACCAATTCTTTGAGCACTGACTTAACTGAGGAATTCAAGTGTAGAGGGGCTTACAGAATTGGGCCCACAATAATTTGTTAAACTCTCTTTATTTCTACCAAAAGGCAAATAAATCACCTGTTCCTATTTCTCACATCCTACTGAGATTTACTTTTCCTTTTTTCCCCATGCACAAGTTTGGCTTTTAAAAAGGTATTTCCAAAATGAAGAGAGGACTTTTCACACCCTTTCTATCACCTTCTATGAATTTGCTGTGTGAATGGAAAAGCTTTGTCCTTTATGGTCCTCATTCTGCTGTCCCTGACATCCACAAATGCAGAAGGCAGATCAGAATTTAAGAGAAGCAGATTATATAGTTGTAAAACTTGCTTTTCTCTCTCTCTCTCTCTCCTTTTGTGTGTCTGCGCGCAATGGAGTAACACCTTTCATTACAATTATCAGCTCAATGTCAGAAAGCTCCCCAGCGTGCTGTGCATATTTTCACAGGTTCATTTGTCTCCTCCTATACCATCAGTTTTAAAAAGATTCTTTTTGAAAGAAACATCATTAACAACTATGCCTATTTCAAACCTACAAAGTCAAACACAATACACAGTACTGGTAACTGATCTTTAGGTTTCAGTCCACTGAGTTTTTCACACTGAGAATAGGGCTCATGTGCTTTCCCTTTACGGTCTATTCTTTTACAAAGCACAGATCTGGAAACTGCCTCTGCCCTGCATAGAACACAGTATATGTGGCTTTCCTAGTTCTCTGGCTGACAGTACAAATAGCCCCAAGATCACTAATAGCTTTCTCCTAGGGATTTCTCCTGATGTTGCCTCTTGCTCTGTAAATACATTGCCTTTTTCCCCCCCCCTTGCATTAGAAACTAACTTCTTGGCAGCTGATTCCACATTTACAAACCTTCTGTTGGGAACATTCCATTTCAAACCTCAAACAAGACGCCATGGCAGAATCCTTCCTGCTCTGGCACCGGATCATAAGATATTATCCCCTTACCCAAGCTGCTCTAGAGACTGATGCCCACGGCTTCAGCTAGCTCCCTGTCCCAGCATGATGGAAGGAAAGAGACAAAAGGAATGGGGGAGAGACAGACACAGAACAGGAAGAGACAGCCATGGGTCTCTCACTGCTGTCCTGTCCTAGGCATCTCCACACCAATAGTGGCCTGTCCCCAATCCCTTCCCCTGTGGAGCTCTGCCACTCAGCGCTCTCCCTGCCCCTCATTAGTCCCCCCTTTCCTACTCTCTGTACCCCCAAAAGTGTCCCTTCCACGCCACGCCCATTTTGCCATGGTCCCACTGCCCCTTCCAGACCCCACCTGGTCTGCCCAGGTCCCCCTCAACCCCTGCCCAGTCTGCCCTGCCCCCCCGCAACTCCCCCAGACCCCCTCAGCCCGGTCTCGCCTTGCCCCCCCCCCGCCAACTCCCCCACGACTCCCTCAGCCCGGTCTGCCCTGCCCCCCCCCCGCAACTCCCCCAGACCCCCTCAGCCCGGTCTGCTCTGCCCCCCAGCCCGGCACTCACTACTTGTAGAGCTGCTGCAGGCAGAGGTCCAGGCACTCTCCCTCCACCTCCTCCTCGATGATGTGCTCGGAGAGCGGCCGAGGCAGCGGCGGCAGCGGTGGCGGAGGGGTGGGGGGCTGGGGGTCCGCGGCGTCGCTCTCCTCCGCCTCCCCAGCGGCTGCCCCTTCCCCTTCTGCCCCGGCGGCGGGGGGCGAGGGGGCTGGCTCTGCCCCGAAGGGCCCTCGGAACTCGCCCAGGAAGAGCTCCAGGAAGCGGCGGTAGGTCTTCTCCTCAGAGCCGCCAGCGGCCATCGCTTCGCATGCCCGGCTGCCTGCCGGCGGATCAGCACTGAGCCCGCAGAGAGCTCCCTGCTCGCCCGCCGGCCGGCCAGCCTCCCTGCGCGCGCGCTCCCGAGCCGGCCCCGCGGGACCGCGCACGCTGCGGGGGCGGGGTGGGCAGCGGAGGGGGACTCGAGGCTCGCGCGCCGCGCGGGAAAGGCAGCTGGCCTCGAGGGAGCTGACAGAGAAAGCGCCCCACCGAGGGGAGGGAAGGAGAGACAGACTGACAGGGCAGAGAGAGCGAGACTGTACAAAGAGGAGCAAGCTGGTCCCTCCAGTGAAAAAAAGGGAAGGGGAGTAGGCAGAGAGACGGCCAACAAGCCCCCCCCCCAAACGCTGACAGAGCCCCAGAGAGAGGGCTGGATACTCAGTCATGCCCATGCTGCCAGCCAAGCCGGCAGAGCTCCCACTTTCTCGCTACCATCCTGGCGCCAACGCTGCAAAGAGATGGATTAGAGGCAGACTCTGCTGGTGTACTGAACTGGTAAGTGCTCAGAGGTTTTTCCTAGCCCTGGCTGCAGGGCTGTGTGTGTGCCATGGGGGCCCAGAAGCGGGCCACCTGAAAAGAACCAGCTTAAAGCAATGGGGGGTGGGGATGACTTGTACCTCACTGCCTTTGGGAGCAGCCTGTTTTTTCTCTCTCTGTTTTTGGGTTCCCGTGTGTGTTATAATTCGGAGAAATAAAATAGTATTGTGTTGCAACCTTCCATCAAGAGTATTTCTGTTTTTAATCTAACTTCTGTGTGTGTGTGCTGTGACCACAATAGAGACAAGCAAATTTCACAGTGTTCTGTATTATAACTTCAACAGAAACTAGAGAACAAATTCCTAGTATGTAATCAGTTTTAGAATTTCTTATATGTCCATCACCATATATTCTAGTATCTTAGAGGTTACTGCACTAGCCTTTCACTTCTAGGCAATCAAGATAGTTAACAAAATTATGTAAACATAGCAAAGCGCAACGCATTAACTTTTCAGTAATTAAAGGTTTATTTACCCATCTGAGCATACAATAGTTTTTGCTATGTACAGTCTCAAAGTTTTAATTAGCGTGATGGAAACATATAAAATTAATAGCCATTGGAAAGGCATTACAGCAGAAAATGACTCCTCTAGAATCAGTCAATTGTTCCATGTGGAGCCATAGACTACTGCATAGTCAGAAATGGTCTGATTGATTTATGGGCCTAGTTTCTGGGCTGATCTAAAGCCTATTGAAGTCAATGGGAAGAGACCAATTAATTTAAACGAGCATTAGATCCAGCCTTCTGTGGAACAAAGGAATGTGGAAGTTTATGGAAACAATCACCAAATTTCATGCCTCACATTGGAATGGGTAATTTCAGGCAATCAGGTGCTCATCTTCTGAAGTATGATTTGACCAGCAGTTGTAGTTCTGATATTATTTTCAAGATTGATATATGAATGATGCTTCCACATTAGATGGTCTGGATAATGGGAATTCACAGTGGTCAAATATGTCACGTAAAATATATCAGAGGGATAGCCGTGTTAGTCTGTATCCACAAAAACAACTAGGAGTCCAGTGGCACCTTTAAAGACTAAAAGATTTATTTGGGCATAAGCTTTCGTGGGTAAAACCCCCCACTTCAGATGCATGGAATGAAAATTACAGATGCAAGCATAAATATACTGACACATGAAGAGAAGGGAGTTTCCTTACAAGTGGAGAACCAGTGTTCACAAGGCCAATTCAGTCACGGTGGATGTGGTCCACTCCCAATAATTGATGAGGCAGTGTCATCCACCCTGACTGTTTTTCATCTTTCACAGCCAAAAATCATTAAAGTGATATATGAATTATACATAGCAGCCTTCAACTACCTGAAGGGGAGTTCCAAAGAGGATGGAGCTCGGCTGTTCTCAGTGGTGGCAGAGGACAGAACAAGGAGCAATGGTCTCAAGTTGCGGTGGGGGAGGTCCAGGTTGGATATCAGGAAAAACTATTTCACTAGGAGGGTGGTGAAACACTGGAATGCGTTACCTAGGGAGGTGGTAGAGTCTCCTTCCTTGGAGGTTTTTAAGGCCCGGCTTGACAAAGCCCTGGCTGGGATGATTTAGCTGGGAATTGGTCCTGCTTTGAGCAGGGGGTTGGACTAGATGACCTCTTGAGGTCCCTTCCAACTCTGATATTCTATGATTCTACATAGATGTAGCTGATATTGAAAATACATTCCTTTTTTTTAAATATACCACTTACATCCTTTCTAATTTATAATGCATTTCTATAAGGCTGTCAGGCAAGTTTGAAGAGCCAAATAATAACATTTCTGCTTTCGCTAATGACAGTCCACAGCTGCAGCTGATTTTTTTTTTTTTGAAAGTCCATGTGTGTACAGTACTGCAACATCAATTAAAGAGTTAAAGACCTGTAGAGAATTATAAGTATCTAAAAATGGGCTGCAAGTGAGCCACTGATCATTGGTTATAGTCCACTGGTAAATCATGGGATGTTAGGGTTTCCAGTGGCTTAGGCTCCTGCAAATATTAATATATTTTCTGTCACGTATAAAATACACAATTCTAAAAATTACCATTACACTAATACTATTAGGAAAGCACTTCATATTTCAACAAACTGTCTGATCATCTACATATGGCATTACAAAACAGCAATTAAGACTTGCCCAGGAAGGTTTAAACAAAAATTTACTTTGATTCTTGCTTCATTTTGTCTTAACTCCTAAAAAAAAATAAAAATAGAAATAAAATTGTCTACTTTAACGCCATATGAAAATATTTGAGAATAGCAGTTCTGTTTCATATTATGTTAAAGTTACCAGATGTCTGTGATTCACCTTGCAGTCCCCATGTGTTTTCCATCATTTGTGTAATTGCAAAGGACACTAATTTAAATTAAATAGCATATAACTTTGTACTCAGGATACTTGGTTAGGTTTTGGTACTATAGATCAAGTTAGCATTATTTTGTTTCTAGTATTAAATTAAGAGGTTATGGATCTAAATCAGGGTGACATTTGTTTCGGGAGGTGAGGTGGGGGGGGGATGAAGAACCATTCTCATTAACCTACAGTACAGACCATATGGCAATCGTGGGTGGTGTGGCTACATTAGGCAGCCAAGAGTCTGGCATTGATTCACAATAAGACACTGTGGGTGTGCAATTACCACCAAGTAGCTTCACTGTTATCTTGCTTCTGTCCCGAAAGGAGAATCCAAATACAGTTTTCTGTCTTGTATAGGACGAATATAAGTCACATGATTGGCTCCTACATTATGTTTTTTGTTTCCAGCAACCCTGGGAGCTAAATTCTAGAGTGCTTTGATGAACTCCAGACTGCTGAGTAACAGCATTATGAATGGTTCCTGTGCCCCAAGCATAGCTGAAGCAAATGGATTCACAAATCAAGGCAATTTGGGGCAGACGACTTTGGATTGCAGCATATTGTCAAATAGAAGATGAATTTAAAGGTGACCACCAAAGGAAATCACAGATGCTTGTGTGATTTTTGACTTCATCGTGGAATTTGAAAGGTTAGAAAGGTTTTGTTCTCAGAAATGTGTTTTTATTCTCCTTTATTTTAGCTTTAGAAATATAAAGAATGTCATGTTGTCCTTCCTAGTTTTGCTGGACAACTAGAGAACAGGAGTAGGAGTTTTCTCAGCTCATGAGTTCGAAGAAGGGACGGGTATTGAGACTTCCACAAAGAAATATTTTCTACTACCTGTTTGTCAAGAATTTTTCTAATGTTTAAAGTGACATTACCAAAATTAAAAACAAGGACAAAAAAATCTGCTCCATTGAGTTTCTGCTCTGCACAGCAAAGAGAGAAAAGGTACCAGGGAGCCTGTTATGGCTCCCCATTTCTCAGGGTGGATGTGTCTCAGCACCAGGGTAGGTAAGAGCAGCCTGGGGTCACTAATTTAACATCAGCTGTCAAGAGTGCCCAAAGGACTATATTCCAAGAGGGGATAGTAGTAGCACAGTGCACTCCAGTCACACCCTATCCTAACAGCTTCCTACCCCTTATGCTCGGATAGAGAGGCCATCAACCACTCAGGAACTGGATGTGCCAGGCAAGCACCACCTGAGAGCTCCCCTATGCTGGGGGAATTCTCAGCAGGCTAGATCCATTTGCTTTTTTCTTCCAGAGCAGCATAAAAGGGCCAGAATTCATCAGAGAATCTACCCCAAGAAGTTTTAAATAGTCTGACTAAAAATTCCTTGCCCCGCTAAATTGTTCCGGTTTCATTCTTTGTACATGTGATATTACAATCTTACTAGGAGTCCAGTGGTTCATATTGTCTTCCAGGAAAAACAGGGTAGGCAAGACCTGAAATGTAAATATAAAAAGCTATACAGAAAGAAAAACATACAGCTTACCCTCAATGCCCCCCAAAAATAATCCTCTACTTTTCAAGTTGAGTAAAGAAAGCATGTAGAAGCAATAAATAAATGGCATACACTTTTTTCCTCTCTCGGTTACCTTTAAAGTGTACCTATAAAAAACTTCTTTTAATATCTTCCTGCAGAGATGCTATCTAGTCCTCAGGGCCTCCTTTACGTAACACATTAGTTTTCTTTATGGCCTATGTGGAAAACGGTGTTAGTAAAACTGACATTTACAATCTGATACATATCATTCCTACTTAAAGAGTTAATGAGGTGTGTGGCATATTTATCAACACATTTGCAGCCAAATGTTCAAAGCAGGAAAACAAGAATGAAATTTCATGTCATAGGTAACATTTTTTAATATTACCCACATCCTAATCTCATGGTCAAATCCCCAATTGATTTCCTGAATAAAAAGCAGAAGTACAAGTGAACAGTGTAGCAGGATTTGAGCAGGCCTTGGGGAGGTGACCTGAATTGTATGGAAGAGTATGATGAAATGCTTCTTTTTAACCATGAAAGAAACTTTAGTACATTGGCATGTAGAATATACTTGGGAACATCAAATATTTGGAGGTGTTTCAATATACTTATTGTGATGTGCTCCAATAGTGTATCATCACAGAAAAGCCTATAAACAAATTATTTTGACATGATCTTTTAAAAGGTCTCTGCAACAAACAAGAAGACATTTTGGAAGGTAACTTTTGTGTACATGGTCAAATGGAGCCATTGTTAAAGCAGGCATTACCAAACCTTTTGCACATAGAATGTAATGTTCTCAGTTTTAAGTGACTATTGCTGTTGGGTTTGACCAGCTTACGTTTACAACAGCACTGTGTACACATTTGTATCATGAGAATATATTGCATTACACTCTGTATTGTACTATTGAAAGATACTACCATCCTTGTATTGCATTATTTGTGCATCTTGCAAGCATGCGATGAAAGACACTGTGATTCAAAACCTACTTGAACTTTTTCACAAAAATATACCACTGTGGTATAATAAATGTGTCTCTGAAATGAGTGACGCATAAGACATAAGTGTTCTATATTCTTATATCTGCCAAAATCCAATAAGCCAATCACTCCTCAAACTATAATGATTGGATCCAAACAAGTGCAGCAACAAAGTGAACCAAGTTAGTACAGAGAGAAGGCCTTTGTTTACAAGCAACATCAAGCACCAATTTTTTTTTTTTAGGTTTAGTCTCCAATAACCTACAGCTACAATTTTTTTCAAGTGACAAGTCTCTGAACACTGAATCCAGAATTTCCTAGGTCTTAAAGACACAGTAATCTAAGTCACTGCTGTCCTTATACCACAGTAAGTATTCTATTGGCACACTCCTAAGGATCTGTGTCCATAACTTTATTCCTTTTCTCCCAGGCCAAGTCTGTTCTTAAGGATTCAGGTCCAGAGATGGTGCTCAAATACCTAGCTGCATTCCAGAACAAGGGGTTTCCAACTTACCATTCCTTCTCATCCTTTAGAGGTATTACTCAAAACATTCAGCTCATTGTTTGAATAGCAGAAGTGAGAAAAAGTCCATGTTACTGAGGCCAGGTTTACGCTCAAAAGTTAAATTGAAAAATCCACACCCATGAGCAACGTAGTTAAGACGACCTAATCCTCAGTGTAGATGGCACTAGGTTAACAGAAGAACCCTTCTGTCAATGTAGGTACTGCCTCTCGGGGAGGTGAATTAACTAGGGCAATGGGAGAACTCCTCCCATTGCTGTAATGAGTGGCTATGCTGAGGTGCTACAGCAGGGCAGCTGTGTTGCTGTCACATTTTAAGTGCAGACGTAGCACTACTTAGATTTGAAAAACTATTAGAGAGAGATACACAGGAGGGAGAATGAATGAAAAGCAGCACCCCAAGAGGCCTACCCCTGGAAACTAGTTGCGAACAGAAGAAGAAATACTGTAGTAGCAGAGACAAACATGTGTTGTTTCCTTTTAAGCAAAGGCAAAGATGTTGTGCCAGAAAATCATGTGTGATTGAAGTGTGGTTGCAGATAAGTGCCAAAGGGATGGTTTCTGTCTCTTGGAAACATTCATGACCACACCATGGTTGTGTGTGCTGGATGCTGTCAAGGCCTGCCATCATACAACACACAGGTGTATACTAGAATCCAGTAAGTTCCCTCTGAGGCTGATCCACTTCACTAATCAGTCACTCATAAGAGTATTAGTTTTCTCCCCCCCGCTAAATGGAGATGAGTGGAGCAGAGCTCTGGGCTATCAGCAAACAACAAGGCTTACTGACAGCATTGCTGTGCTAGGCCCTGCCTTCATACTTTTCATTTTTATAGCACCTGTCATTTGAGATAAAGTTGTGATATTTTAATCACTGAGTGAAATTCACCCCAGTGCAGCGGATCCAGTTTCATCCTAAGGTAAGAGAGCGGTTAAGGGCTAGATTGTTAAAGGTGTTTAGGCACCTAAAGATGCGGATAGGTGCCTGGTGGGATTTTCAAGAGTGATTTCAGTGAGAGTGAGGTGCCAAGATGCTTTTGAATATCTCACTAGGTACCTCTCTACATAGGAGCATATCTTTAAATACAGAAATGTATAAAATGAGTGACTGTGTTGGAGAGATTAATACATCCTGCTGTGTAATGTGTTCCAAATCTTTTACCAGGCAAATGTAAGATGAGGCCTGTGGTGGTGTAAAGGGTGTAACTAATTGTTATAATCTTATATTCACATGCAATATTTTATAAGAGGCACAATTGGCATGTAAAAAAACAACTTGTTCTTTTATCCAGAAAGTTATTTTTTTTTAATTATGTTGAGAAACACTGATCAAATGTATTTGGTACTTTGCTGCTAAAACTCCAGTGATTAATTTTAACCCCCCAAATCAACCAATGTGAGATACCATACTAAATTAGAATTTCACCCGTATAACTGCAAAGAAGCTGCATGGGAAGTGCCAAGATCTAGTAAGAGCCACTTCAGTACCTCTCCATAGTTTCCTTTCTTTCTCATATGAACTATATTCAAACTTTATTTTTTAAACATGTCCTTGTTTTCTGATTGGTTGAAACCAAATTATGTGATTTCTGTAATCTGACACTTATCCAGTGTCCATTGAAGTCAATGGCAAAACATCCACTGACTTCACTGAACATAGAAACTGGGCCTTAATAAAATGAACAGCAGGCAAGAATCAGCTATAAAATATTGCTTGGAAAACTATGCCCTCCGGTAAGACATAATATATTGTCCTGTCGAAAATACAGTAATCTTTCCAGCAAGATACATTTCTATTCCTTGTACAGTAATTTTCATCTCTTGCTCTTAGCACTGATAACTATTTGTATAATTTCTACATGACTATGTAGACTAGTATTTCTATAATATTACAGTAGCACAAATGTTATTAATAAAAATATTTCTTGCTTACAGAAGACAAGTTTGTAGTTTGGTGCTTTATAGTGAATATATTTATGGGTAAAATTCACTCAAGCCCCACTGCCTTAGGAAAAACAGATCATTCCAACCCTCATTACCTCATAAAATAAGTTACAAATATAATCACTGTAAATTAGGGCTGAATAATACTGTTGAATGTGTCTTTTTACCTAATTATGATCCTGAACACAGTATAAACAGTCCGCTAAAACCTTGGTCTCAGTGATTTCTCATTCCAATTTACACATTTCATACCAAATAAAAAAGATGGGCTTGGGAGGAAAGGGGAAAAGATTTTGCCATGGACAATCTATCAGTGAAATGTCTTACAATCTCATTCTAAACCTAGTCCTAAAAAAGTACATTAATTTTGTAAGTGCTGATAGTGACAAAAGTTAACTAGTCAACTAATCACTATTATAAATGACTAATCTCATCTTTTTTTTTCCCAGCACCTCTCACTAAATGTCCACACGTTGTTTAGAGTCAAAAACTTGAACCTCTCCCTCAGGATGACTTTAACAAAGAGATCACCAAAAAGAGAAAGTTCAGCTCAAACCTTCTCCCCGGGCTTGGCTGCCTATTGGGTTCCTATGTGTTGATTGGTCAGCCCTAACCCTAGAACATCTGTCTTTACAGCACCACTCCCACTTTCCTCATAGCTGTATGGGGCAATAAGATACTTGGCTCAGTGAGTCAGCACAGCAGAACCCACTTTCCAGCAGCATCAACACTTTCTTATAGCATGAGAGCCAGATAAAAAAACATTTTGGGGGTAAGAGGATTCAGCTGAGGAATGAGCATCCAGAGTCTGACCATCTGCAGGGCATGCTGCAAACTTTTTATAAAGCTTTCCAGCCATAACGAGCTTCCAGTATCCACTGCCAAAGAAAAAATACTTTAAATTCACCAATAAGTGAGCTGGTTTCACATTTTAGATTTTTTTTCCCCACTTTGGCACTTTATTCCAAATTTTGACCTCAGCAGAGACAGGAGGTTTGCCATTGACTTAAATGGAGGCACATTTGGTCTCAACTTGAACCCTGACTCCACATCTAGTCAAAGCTATTCCACCCCCATGCATTTTAAGTTTATTCTTCTTGGAAGCTAACTGGTTTCCCAGTGATTCTTAATGAAAAAAAGCTGTTTTCAAAGTAGAGAACACTTAGAGTCAGGAGGAAATACATTGTTAATTTTCTCTTCCTAGAATAAAGAATTTCAAAGCAGCATTCTGCTGCTAGGTGAGGCACATCACAGTCACCATGTTTTCTTACTGCCAAACCCTGTGATAGATATTGGAATTTTGTTATGGTAACACAATAGCTCCTCACACCAGAGGCAAGTTTAATGTGGTAGTGCCAAACTGAATAATAGTAAGCTCAGCCCCATCTTTACAGTTCCTGCATTTAGAGATGACTGGCATTCAAGCAACAAACCAAACAAGCTGATATTTTTGTTTTATTCAATGCTGCAAACTTGGCTGGTTAGTATCTTAATTTGTGCAATCATAAAATTCCCTCTTCACTTTTTTTTTTAAATCACACTGCTGCTTTGAAGTAATATACAAAGTGCAACAAAGGATTCCAGCCTCAAAAAAACAACCAGAGAGTTAATTGGTGAGATAATGGACAAATTTTTCTCACTTACACAAGTGTATATCTGGAGTAGCTCAATGGACTCCAGCAGAGTTTCTCATGCAGAGGAGTATTGAATCAGGCCCACTACATCTACTTTTATCTCAGCCATTAGAGCCTTCTCTCTAGGGCTAGCCTATACCAGGCATTTTCACTAGTGTAGCTATAACAGTGTAACTGTCCCAGTGGAAGTCATACACCAGTGTGGTTTACTCCAGAAATCTCTCTTCCCCTCCCTTCTCCCACCCCCCAAAAAAAGGCAACAACCCAAAACAGTGGAAGCTACTCACAAGACCACATTGCCTTGAGGGGGTGTTCTGACTTCTGTTAGCCACTAAATTATTATATCCGACACCTTTTAGAACAGTGCAAAAATCCATCGGTTATGAAAACAAAAATGTATTCCTTTAAGCTATCCTTATGTAATATGCACTTTCTAAAAAAAATTAATCTGGTTGACACCAGAAGCTATATTTTCTTGCATAAAGCTAATGTTCTGAACACTTCTACACCAAACAGGTCTCCCTTGATATTTAGGCAACAAAACAATATAAAAATACATATTAGTGTAAATACATATTCTTGTAAAATCAGAGGGAGTGTATTTAATTATTAGAGAAACAGATTGGGAGTCAGGAGGCTTGAGTTCTATTCCCAGCGATGCTAGTTAAACTGTGTGACTTTAGACAATTTAATCTTTCTACCTCTCAACTTTCCCATCTGAAAATGGGGATGAAATGACTCATCTAGGAGTTTAGAAAGACCAGGTGGGTGAGGTAATATCTTATATTGGATCAACTTCAGTTAGTGAGCGAGACTAGCTTTCAAGCTTATACAGAACTCTTCTCTAGGTCACGGAAATGTACTCCGAGTCTCACACCTAAATACAAGGTGGAATACATTGTTTAGGAGTTGTGAGGCTTAACTGACATTTGTAATTGACTGAGATCTTTAGATGAAAAATGCTATGGATGATGTGATCCAGTGGCTACTGTACTGCATTAAGAGTTAGGAGACCTACCTTCTATCCCAACTCTGCAACTGATCTGCAGTGTGACCTTGTGCAAGTCACTTTACCTCTCTGTGCTTCTGTTTCCCCGGTACGCTTTGTTTGTCTTATCTATTTAGATGGTAAGCTCTTCAGAGGAAGGACTATTCTATGTACAATGCCTAGCATAATGGAACCCTGGTCTCAGATGCGGTCTCCAAGTGCTACTGTAATAACTAATAAAAATAAGTAATCTGAATTTAGCATTAAATATGAGAGATCTTTAAATACTACCCTTGAAGATAAGAGAAATTGTTGCACACTTTAAACTAGAATAAGGTAAATTAACTGAAACAGAGAAGACTTTTTTCATAAATATCCTTACAGAGTAGCAACCATCAGTATCTACATCAGTAGTAATCCAGTGCTTTTAAAAATGGTGCTACAAGACCCTTAATCAATGCAGTTTTCCATGTGGCTAAGCAGGCATGCGCACTGTGTCAGACTCCCCCTTCTCTAGCACTGCAAGACGTAGGAAGCTATTATTCCCAAATGAAGCATTTGGTTGCTGACATCAGATGCGGTAGAATCCTTTTGTTTGCCTGTGTCTCCTGCATTGCAATGTTTGTCTGAGTCACAAGCCCCGCCGTCTTTCTTCCTCTGCGACATAGCTCTCCCTGATTCATGGATTTTTAATTTTGACAATACCTGATTCTCATGATGGCACCTGAATATTTTTCCCCTCAGTATTGTATTATGCAAATTACATCTAAACACTATAATGATCCAGAAATCACTGTCACTCTCTTTTTCAGCATTTTAAATAAAGAAGGAGGTTTTGTGACTCACATTCAGCACTGAATTTTGTTTCAAAGCAAAGTCAATTTTAGGATGAATTACTAAATTAAAAATTATAGCTACTGACTCCCACAACTTGAATCTCATATTTAGGCTGCTGGCTAGGTTTCCCCAGCAATCAAGTTAGCAAGTTCTGTGCTTCAAGGGTGTCAAGTAATATATACATACTCCCCTTGTGGTAAATATTTGCTTTTGTATTTAAACCTTATAAAATGCATCCAGATATTCTGGTAACCAGCAAACCCCCCCCCCCCATGTTCTTGCAATAATTAATATTTTGAATTGCCATTCAGTCAGTCAAGGTTTATTTTCTGTGAGAGAGGCCAGATCTTTGCTGCATTGTCAGTGGGTACATTTATGTTCTTCCCTTCGGTTTACATTTTGGAGCTGCTAGTACACTGCTGTCTTTTAAGAAACACATTTCTCTTCTCTAAATTAAATTAGGACTACACACAAAACATGCCCTAGTGATTAGGATCACCATACTAAATCCTTTATTAGAAGAAAGACAGAACAGAGGCTGAAGACTATCCAGCCATGTAGATTAGACCTCAAATGTTTCCCATTCACCAAGATTGGGTTTTATCCAGTACAACAATTCCTATGTCCTTCTGCTCCAGTATGCTGTCTCGGACCATGGCCAGTAACAAATGCTTCAGCTGTTAAGAAAGCTTTGATTGGTCTCCAACATGGACATTACAGTAGTTAAGGGCTAAAGCCCTGATTTAGCACAGCACTTAAACACATTCTTATCTTTAAGCAGGTGCTTCAGTTCCATTGACAGAGGCCCTTATCCTGCAGCTTGTTCCATATGGACAGACCATTGTATGGAGCCCTATTGAAGTTCAGCTGCACACAGAAGCGAATGCACGATCAAGACTTTGTCATCTGATGTACTGAATCGGAGCCCATTGTTCCATGGAGCAAGTGTTTCTCTCTCTCTCTCTCGTGCTCAGACATACAAGTAGCAGCTATAATATTCTTCAACTAAAGAAGCTGAAGCCCCTGGTTGTAGAAAACATTTTAGTAAAGCCAAATTAGGTCATAAAAATAAACATTTTTAATGGCACTGCCATTATGTAAACTTGTATATTCTGGGTTTAATATTAAAGTAATTTGGGACACAGCAGTTTTGGTTTAAAATAGTCTCTCAGGCTCCCCTGGATGTTGAACCAATGTTGAACCAATGTTTATAGTACAAACATTTTCATACGTAACACCTTTGTTGAAGTTTATCCTTTGTATCACTATTGTTTGTCCCCTTCTATCCGTGGCCGTTTTCGAGGGTTAATTTCAACTTCTGCTGGGGTCTGGCTTGGAGGTGGAGGATGCACATCCCGGAAGCCATGAGGCTGTAAGATACAAACAAAACCAACAGTAGTAGTGGACCTGACTGTGATCTCAATTAAAGTGGTGAGAATCAAGAGTAACTCGAAGTTAATGGAGTGACACTGGTGCAACCAAACATCAGAATCAGGTCAGAAAAATGTCATTTATTTTAGAAAATTTGTTTAAAGTGTTCCTAATCCAGGCTAAGATCAGAATTATAAGGAAGTTCTTCCACCTACAGGCCAACTAAAAGTAAAATGAGAAGAGAGCTTATAAAGATATTTTCCTATCCCCAATCAGGCCATCATTTTCCTTTTGTCACTAATCACCACTATGGCTATGGAGCACTGCTACTTTGTAAATTAACTTACGCTGCCTATTGAACGCCAAATCCTTTGGTTCTTACTCAAGCAAAACTCCCTCAAAAGTGAGACACAAGCCCTGAAGGATTCAGTGCTAGAATCACACTTGCACTCAAAAACGGGAACTTTTAAACCCCAGGACAAAAGTTGGGGTTTTTTTAAATCTGAAAATTGCAACAAGACACCACATTGTTACAGAAAAGCATGTCTGAATCTGTCTTATCAAATTGCTCAGATCATCACTGCAGGAACAAGAGCGCTTGTGGCCAACAACTGTGATTTATGGGGCATGCTGGGATGTACCTCATCTGCCAAAACCCAAATGTGGGTTAGAATGTGGAAGTGACCAAAGACCGACACAGGAAAAAAAAATTGAGATCTTATAGTGAGGATTAATTTGTTTAGCATCAGTGGCAGTTGCTTTAGGATTAGCTCATGGTTCAGAATTTCTGGATTTAAAAAGTTTACAAATAATAAAGGTCCAGAAAATGAATTTTGTTAAGTGTGTGTCTTATTTCAGACACATGCATGTGAGGAAAAGGGATATTATACACTATGACGTGGGAGGCCTGGATTTGGCTCTCTATCCTCCTGTCTCCAGACTGACAATGCTATGCAGGAAGCATCTCATGCTGATCTCTCCAGATAGTTAAGGGTCAGTGCTGACTCTCTCACAGTTGTTCTCTGATGGAAGGATTGTGACTACAATGCAGGGCCTTGGAGAAGGAAAGGGGCTAATCAGGAGAAAAAATTGCTGCCAGGATCCTGACTGCTCAGGGAGACACATGGAGAAGCAGAGAGCATTTCTGAAGAATTGACATTTCAGGTTGGTGCAGTGTGAAAAATCAGGTAGAATTACTATCAAGTATGTGACTTTTATAAATGGCCAGTGGGTCCTATGCGCAAGACCAATTCAATCCATGAAACAAAGCCAGTAAAAAGGTTTTGACTGAACTCCAATCTCTATAGATTCTTGTGTATTTCTAAAAGTCTCACCACATACAGTTTACTGGGACTTTATTTTTTAAAAATAAAATTAAAAAGGAACAAATAATAAGAGATCCCACAAGGGCAGAACTTGTACCATCCATCTGCTATTTTAAGCATCTCAAGTGTTCTTCTAAACTGTATAATGGGGAATCTTAAAGTTTAGTGTTTCACTGCTGCTTGCATCTAATCTCTGCCATTTACCCTCAGCATAAAGATTGACCTATAGCCAAGAATTCATTTAGTCTAACACACTAGGCTCCTAGGTGAAGCATTCCACTAGTTATGTAAGCAGTGGCATGACAAAGTATGAAGTGCTTGGATACCTTGTGCATGTGCTGAAGGCACTTGGCTTTCAGCCTCATGCTTTTCAGTCATCAGAGAAGAGCTATCATTCTTGTATAGCTTCATGAAGTATGCTCGTACTTTTAGACAGGGATAATGTGGCCCCACTGAGTTATTCTTTAATTTATCTCTATTTTACAGACAGGAGAATCACTAAGGATAGTTAACGTTATAAACCAATTAAAAGGGAATGTCATCGCCAGTCCTGGAGACCTGAAGCTCTTGTGTTCATAGAACTTAAACAATCATTGGTCACTCAAAATTACAGATTTTGTGTCAGTCTCCCATTGCTAAATTACAAAGTGACAAAATCTGGGAAAGTTAAGTGAAATGTCATGCTGAAATTCATAACACTTAGCACTTAATGCTGAACATGTAAAGCACACTAATTAATGAATCCTCAAAACCCCTCTGCGACAGCTAAGTATTATCCCCATTTTACAAGTGGAAAAACTGTGGGGCAGAGATGTGAACTGACTTGCCAATAACCTGGAGGGGTGTCATTGTCCAGATCAGAACCAGGAGTCCCTAGTTACTAGCCTGTGCCTCAGACCATACCCTTTTGCCTGTCTGTTTACAGGCATGGAAGTGCCTATAACAGCGTTTCTCAACGACCAGTCTGTGGACCAGCACTGATCCCTGAGATCTCACTGACACAATTTAAGGAAGGCAGCAAGACGGTCCCTGGTATCAAAAAGGTTGAGAAACTGTGGCCTATAAGACCAGCTTTTTGTATCTTGGTGTAGATATGTTCGATCATATATTTTGCAGCATTGAATGTCTAACTACTAAGATGATATTTAAGAATAGGTACATAGGATGTCTACCACCAAACCTGAATTTAATGGAAGAATTAGATACAGAATTTATCACTCATGGAATTTATCTATCCTTTGAAATCTATGCTGAAGAAGTTCAACAAGACTAAAGGACAAACCTGGATAATCTAAAATTTCAACCAATCTTTGATAACCGTGCACTCAAGAGAGCCACATTTTCAGATTGTATTGAGGGATGGAGTGGAATTGGTTTATTTTACAAAATAAATCTGACAGGAAAAGGCACCTAGAAATATGACTAGAGGATTAAGATATGTTTTAAATGACATTTTTTTCTCCCAAGGTTTGTAAATGAAATGAACAAAATCTTTGATTTCTGTTCACTATGAAAACCTCAGATATTATGGATACCATTAAAAATCTGCAAGAAATGCTATGGCAACATGTTACCATGAGCACCTGTGACAAACAATTATTACATGTAGCTACCTAAATGATAACTGAAGAGATGAGTTTGGAGTTCATTTAATCTGAACAGAAAGATAATAATATTACTTTGTACCTATATAGTGCTTTGGATCTGTACAACTACTAGCACTTCATAAAGGCAAATATCACAATATGTAATTTGTCACTCAGCATTGTATGAACATGGCTACCTCCAGTATTGTCTTGCACTCAGTGTTCTAAAGGAACAAATTGTGCACTCAGAGCTGTAGACACACCTTCTGCAAGCTTCCTTTTGGATAAACCCCTCCTCCCATCACTGAATCTTCACCCCAAAATGAATACTAACTGTAATATGGAAAGGTATGGTCGACTCCTTCTGACTTGGTGATTTGTACAATGTTGCCAACCTGGTCAAACAAAACAGGTTTTGTTAGTATTAGCAAATATACCCTACTAAAAGATTTAGCAATGTTTCACAGCGCAATATAAAGCAAACTTTAGGCTTTTAGGGTCAGATTTTCAAAAGAGCACCACATTCAACAGCTCCCATTTAGGTATCTAAAATAAAACAACTACATTTTCAAGAGTTTCAGCACTGTTCTCAATGGGAATTCTGGGTGCACAGCACATTGTCTATTTAGATTGTGAACTCTTTAGGGCGGAGACTTGCTTCCTTACTCATATGTACATGAGGTGCTGTTGGCCCTATGCAGATAATAATGGAAGTGTTTCACTTCGGAAAGACATTGAGTACAATTCTACTCTACTCCATTAAGCAATAGATTTGGCCTTGAGAAACAGCTGACAGACAGGTTTAACTGTATCTAGTACGTTCCAACAAGCTGGGAAACAAGCAAGGAGTTTTTCCCAGATGTTTCTCAGGTTTATACATAAAATGTAGTGGCTAGGGCATTGGATTAGGACACAGGAGACCTTTATTCTATTCCTAGCCATACCACTAACCTATGCAACTTTGGGCATATCGCTTACTCCTGTGCCTGTTTCCCTTCCCCACTCTTTGTCATTCTTGTCTATTTAGACTGTAAGCTCTCTGCAGCAGTAATTATCTCTGTACTGTGTTAGTACAGTGCCTGGCACAATGGAGCCCCAATCTTGGCTGGGGCCACTACGTACCACTGTAATACCAAAAAAATAACAACTAGAAAATATCTGAACAGCAAGAGATTTTGTCCCACCAGCCCTGTGAATGCATACCTCCCTAAAGCGTATACGCTCCCTTGAGAAACATAAGGAAAAAGTTCTGCCTTGCAACAATTTGTCACCTTCCAAACTGTGATACCCTGCCAAGGATCCTGTTAATTATTTTTAGGTTTTTTTTGTTTTTCTCCCTTAGGTGCCATTCTATTAGAGAGCACGTAATTACAGCCTGAGGAAGAGTGCCACTTCATATTAACTATATAGGGAATTCCTTAGAACATTTAAGTGTGGGTTGTACTTTACAAAATAGCCTAAATCTCAAGCAGCATAAGCCATGTTTTTATGGCACTCAGTTGGAGTTCTGCTAGCTGCCTCTGAGTCAACTGGGTCTGTTCTCACAGCAACAAACCCCACTGTAATTAAGCACTGAAATTTCCATTGCTGGCAGGGTGGAGAGAGAGGCAGGTATCATGTTTAACCAAAGCATAATGGACAAGGCAGGAAGACACTCTAACAGTCACATGAGCTCCACAATAACAGCTACAGAAACAAGGATTGTTAGCTATATCTGGATCATTTACAGATACAACAGAATTTGTTTATTGCTGTTTGTTGCATGTCTAAAATAGTCAATAGCACTCAAAACTGTAGCAGCTTTGCAGGTCACTCATAAGGAGATGCATGCCATATACAAAGGTAAAGAAGAATATTGTTCTATGCATATTGACTCTTTCTGCTTTCTCTATCTGCTAAATATACCTCAATCATTCCAGTGGGTTCATGAAGGAGGCAGGCCTCACAGTCAAAATGTCACTGCAAACTTTATTTTCAGTGAGTATTTATGATTAAGAACTTTTGTTCCATCTGGAGTCCACATGCTGATGCGGCTTCCCTCTTCCTAAGGGGCTTTTTGGCTGATCAGGGATGTCAAGTTAACTCCAAAACAAACAGCCTGGTGTAATCACTCCATGTCTCTCTCAAATGCATAAAGAAGAAAAGAAAAGAAAAGAAAAATCACAGCTCTCTCTCCACAGTTTAAAAAAACAACAACAAAAATCCCAACAGCTGGTCTAGTTTGTTCATTGTTTGCAGAGGATTAGGGAGTAGAAGGGAGGTTTTATGCTGCCATAGTTATATCTACACACTGATATTATGTGCAAGACAAAGTCAAGCAAGCAGATAACAGAAGTGGGCTAGGAACATACAGGAAGGAAGGAAAAAAGAAGTGGTGGCGGGGGAAGTCACATTGGAGCAGACAAAGATAAAGTCGAACTGCTCCCTTGGGGGAGGGGGGGGGAAGTCACCCTCTTTGTTTTGAGCCCTGAAGGTTCCCCTTCAATTTCCCACCATCTGTCAGGAGGCGAACTAAAGGGAGCTCTTCAGAAAGGAAAGGGGTGCTTCAGTTTTTAGTACGGAGATCCTGCTTTGGGAGGCAGAATGGTCCAATGGATAGGGCCAGGGATTGGGAGGCAGAAGATCTTATTCTTAATTAGTTTTATTACTGTAATGCCGAGTTATGGACTAGGACCCCATTGTGCTAAGTCAGTGGTTCTCAAAGTGTGGGTCAGGACCCCAAAGTGGGTCACGAACCCATTTTAATGGGGTTGCCAGGGCTGGCGTTAGACTTGCTGGGGCCCAAGGCCAAAGCCCAAACCCCACCACCCGGGGCCAAAGCCTGAGCCGTACCATCCAGGCTTTGGCTTTGGCCCCCGCACCTGGGGCAGTGGGGCTTAGGTGGGCTCAGGCCTCAGTCCCCCTTCCTGGGGTCATGTAGTAATTTTTGTTGTCAGAAGGGGGTCACGGTGCAATAAAGTTTGAGAACCCCTATGCTAACACACCGGCTTGCCCAAAATCACACAAAACTTCTTTGTGCGTCAGTTTCCCCACCTGCAAAGTTTGTCCTGTTTTTTTTTTTAAATACAGGTACTCTACTCCTGTCGGCCCCCCCACTGGCGTGATCCCACCCTGCTGGTGTCACACACCGCCCCCCACCATGCATTTCAGATAATATGGCATCTGCCATGGGTGTGATCTCACACATACCATGCGTGAGGTCAAAAGAGCTTAGAAGTGCAAGAACACTGTTTTCGCCACACTACCTTATTTAGTGAAGCTTTTTGAGGTGTATGGATGAAGAGAGCTGTAAATGCCAAGTACAGTTTTTTATTATCCACCAGTCTCCAAATTGCTCTTGAAGCTAATGCCACCAGACTGATATTTTGATGCTACATGACATCCTGTCAAAGACATAGTGTAATGCTGCAGCATGCTAATCACATGGGGAGGGAGGAGTTTGTCAGAAAGGTGACCACCCTACTGACAGGCTGACCTAGTAACCGTTGTAGTAGGGCCCTACCAGCCCAGAGAATGGGAGACCAAGACCTGAAATCAAACTCAGATCCCACTTGGCCGCTGGGTTCAACCTGAACTAGATTCTCAAATGGAAGATGCAGTAGGCACACTCTGTAAATTTACTAGCCTGTACTTTCACTTACCTCTGTTTGTTGTCCCAGTGGAAGATTAAACGGATGGTAGCAGCATGTCCCCAGCTTTCCCCTAAGAGAGATAAAAAAAAAAAAATCCCACATGCTGCTTTATTGTCTCCTACAATGCATTAGCATTAATACATTTAAACAGCAAATAAAAAAGTCATTCATCCACAAAGATGATTGAACACAAACAAAAGTGATATGACTCAATACCCCCAGAAATAAGGATTCCTTAATTATTTTACCAATTTGTAAGGTCAAGGAATAAAATCTACTCCCCTGGATTTTTGTGTGTGTGATTTTAAGATTGAAGAAATACCTTTATATTCAGAAAAAGTTTTTATATACATTTAGCAAGAGGACAGACACCAGTGATAGCATGAAAGTATGACTAAGAGGAGCCTTCCCATCTTTAGAGAAAAAAGTATAGTGGTTATATGGCTGCATCTAAATTTAAGGCAGTTATAATCTGGCTCTCAATTCTATTTGTAAACGCACAAACTTTGCTATTTGCCTCCCAAAATCTTGGATCATAAGAAGGGAATATTATGACCATTAAAGTGTTTAAGACTGTTATGCTAAATCCTCCATTTCTGAGAGCCCTCCTCTGACTTATTCAAGAAGTAGAGTAGAATGCTCAGAAACTTGAGAAATTGGGGCAATTGCCCCATTTCAAGGGAAGTAATCCCATTATTTCTGTTCACATCTAACTACGAGCTGAAGTGTGAATCAATTTATAGATAGTACTAGCAGATGTCTTTCTTTGTATGTTCCAGGAGACATTCTGTAGTCAGAAGATGGATTGGATTTTAAAGCAGTCATCCAGTTAAGTACTGCTAGCATACCCTATTCATCCAAACACAACCCCATAACTTCTGAGTCGAGTCAGTATATTTGTCGGTCTCTGACCTGTAACCAGTCCCATCCCATCACATCTTCATTACTGCACACAGAGGGGGGAAGCAATAGAACTCTGATAAAAGATCCTCAAATTAAATTGCTTAATACACCTAGGCCTTCAAGGCAACTTGCCAGGCCCCATTCCATCATGCTAAAGCAAGATTTAAGGTTGTGTTTCTTGGACATGGTTCTCAACTGGAGGTCAGAACATGAGTTTTACAAATGGGTGCAATTTCCATTTTAACAACATTTCCATGCATATTTAATAAAAAAATGACAAAATGAGATGCTTCTGAGTTAAACTGGCTGCAGATTAATATTGGACCTAATGGATAAGTATACCACATAAAAATGTCTAGGGACACCCATTTTAGCTCTCAGCAGTAGGAAAGAAAGCAGCTCCCTTCCCAGAAAGCTCCTGACTTAATACCTTCCAGCATCTGGGTTTTATTCATAATTTAGGGCTTCCCTTCCACTAGGAAACCGAACAACACGTTAGGGATTAAAGCTCTTGTGAACTCTTAAGAGAGATTTTTCTAGGGCCTACTAATCAATGAAACAACATTCAGTGGGGGAGACAGAAGACAGACAACCAGAGGCAGCAGGGCTGAAAATCGCTGACTTGGATACAAATAGATTAGATGCTAACAAGCCATCATTCTTTGGCTGTAATCAACATTTGAGGAACAAGTTTACTTTAGCCTCATTATGAGACCATTGCCATAGATGTACCATCTACACAGTGGTTCTCAACCAGGGGTACATGTATCCCTAGGGGTACGCAGATGTCTTCCAGAGGGTACATCAACTCATCTAAATATTTGCCGAGTTTTACAACAGGCTACGTAAAAAGCACTAGCAAAGGCAGTACAAACTAAAATTTCATACAATTACTTGTTTATACTGCTCTAATATACTATACACTGAAATATAAGTACAATGTTTATATTCCAATTGATATATTATTATTATTATATGGTAACAATGAGAAAGTAAACAGTTTTTCAGTAACAGCATGCTGTGACACTTTCCTATTTTTACATCTGATTTTGTAAGCAAGTAGTTTTAAGTCAAACTCCTGAAAGGGGTACAGTACTCTGGAAAGGTTGAGAACCACTGATCTAGAGGGCCTTCAGATCACTCTCCTAATTCTCCAATGCAACACTTAAAATAGGTGGATCTCCAGAGTAAATACAAATCAAATTGCACACAGCCTTGTGCCACTTCAGAATCCTCAGCCTCTGAGCTGCAGTTGCTTAACATTGAAATGTGGCTGAGCAGAGGTCCTTAGCCTGAATATTTCACCAGCGGAGGACAAACCTTCACTGTAGCAGGAGATGCAATTTAGTTTAACAAATCTATATAGCTGCACACATATTTAGGGCAGAGTCACATACAGTTTATGTCTTCTGCAATGGGGAGGCTATGTCAAAAAATCCTTAATTTCAAAACTGTGCACAAGACAGTTCGTGACACCTTGGGAATATCACCTAAATGGACTTCTTTCACATTCTTCACTGTGACCCAGTAAACAGAGCAGTTTTCCCAAACACTGGGTGTTAAACAAGGTTAAATCTATTAGCTTTAATTCATTTTGAAGCAAGAAAGGCTGCCAAAAATAATGAATACAGCTGAGAGCAGGAGGTAAAGACGACAAAGGGTCAGATACTGAAAGCAAGGTCTTTATCTGCATGCACAGTTCAAAATCCAATGTTGTCCAAGGAGATGCCTTGTATTTGTTCATTTTATCTTACTTCTGTGCCAAACGGTTCAAGGGCTGAACATTCATTGGGAACATCTTTCCCTCCCGCCTCCCCCCCCTCAAATAATCAAGACAATCATTACTTGATTCACAGAAGGTGAAGCTGTATGCAGAGAATGTTTCCCCGTTTAATTACAACATTAAATATATTTACAACATAAACCAAGAAAGAGGAAATTTAAAGCTTAATTAGGCCAAATCTCCATCCTTCAGGCAAACTGTTTCAGTCTGCCCTGTAAACACAGTAGACAGTCCCACACCCATACAAATTACTCTTGTGTATCTTTACTCTGCTTATAGGATAAATCAAAGTAGAGTGCCCCACACAGAATCTCCCCACCTCTTCATGATTACACAATGACAGGTTATCTGATAGTTCCAATGCGTACACCAAATCTGAAACACTTTTGGAAACTATTAATGAGTACAGTTTCAAAGGTTTACTTTGCCACTGTGTTTGAATATATTTAGGGGTGTGGATGGGAAGTTCTCAGGCAATTGTAGGGGAAGAAAATGAAAGCATGGTGGGGCCATTACCCCTTATGTCTTTGTGGGACATGCTGCAAGACATTAGCTTCAGATTCTGGAAACTAGCTACTGTACCCATTTAATAAAGCAGCGAATCTATACTATTTTCCCTCAAGAAGCAATTCAGTCAAATTTAGGAGTCCTAACAAAGGCTCAAACTAGTAACATTCCCAATCTGCAACTTAAAAGGTTACAAAACATCGCTTTCAAAACAAAATTGTTAAAAATTAATTCCTTTTTTAGGCTGGGATCTCAGATGCCATATTTGATTGTAGGATTAGTTTTAATAGCAGCAACTGAGGCCTGTAGTGAAAACAATATAGCTTGTTGTATTTCAGGTCTCTCCATCAGCAGCACTAAGTCATCACAGGTTCAGGTAATTTTACTGCCAATACTCAGCATTTTCCTGCAGCCACAGAAATTACAGCCAACATTTTCAGGTTTTTGTTCACGAAAAACAAACATTCAAAGGATAATATAATTTTCAACTTGCTGACTAAACACCTACCTAAAGCAGGTACCAACATGGACTGACTTTGTCCAATCCTTGTTGTCATTTGATTTGTCAAAACTACCTAAAGGGAAAGTGGGGGGGGGGGGGGAGGAGAAGAGAAGGAAAAAATAAAAATACAGGGAAACTGTCATGTAAGAAAAAAAAAATGATTTTCCAAGTCTGCATCAAGAAAAGCTATATTAATAATCTAATGCTGCCATTATTACTCAAGCAAGACTCCCACTGACTGCAATGGGACTTTTGCACAGTAAAGAGAGGCTGGGAACATTTACGGTATCATTATCCAGAGCAGATTAGTAGAACTCTGCAAAAATATTTTCAGTCTGCTAAGGGGGGGGGGTTGCTCTCATTCAGGACTGTAGCTCTAAAGCTAAACCTTCTCCTCATCCTAGATGCCCAAACATCTTACAAGCTAGTACGTTACACAGACATCTAAACTGTAGTTAACACAAATTCTATTATTCACATACATAGGCCCTCTGGCAAAGGGGTAGACATCATCCAATGTGCCATAAATGTACACAGTGATGTACAAAGTGAGCATGTGCTCTGCAATTAGCAGAATCCCTGCAGCTTCTAGTCTAAAAATGCGCAAGTAGGTACAATACAAAGCAATACGCAAGAGAACAGACAGAGTGGGGGAGTGTTTTTACAGCATGAATCTTCGTAGGCGGCTCACAGACAGTCTAGATTAGATTCCTGGTAGAATGGAGGTAGTGGTGGGGAAGAGATAAAAAAGGAGCAAGAGAGGTAGCAGCTGACTTGATACACTAGATTTGGTAATTTTGCAGATTTTCTTCATTGTAATATTCATTTCAGTTTACTGGGGAAAAAAAAAAACAGCACCTATCCCAAACCCAAGGTCTTTCAGTGTTTGGTTTTATTACTGCTGTACAATTCTTGCCTGACTAGTTAATTCATTAGACGATTTCCTATACATTGTGATTTATCATTTCATATCAAGGAAAGAGACCTATATGATGAAAGCGATTCTCTTTCAAGTTCACAAGACAACTAATGTATGGGCTGGATGGGAATAAAGAGAAAGGTGTACAAAATACAGTTACAGAATACATATATCCCCTGGTACCTACCCATGAAGGAAAGCCCTTCATAATTCATGTGTGTGGCTTACTGTCACCAGCAGGCACACAGGTATTACACTGGCAGAATGCAGTTATGCGGTTTTCCTTCCTGTAGTTATCTAAGGAAACACGGGGGAGGATTTATTTTTAGCAGTACAGACAAAAGCCAATTGCATGACAGCAGTCTGGATGACAGGGAATCAAGTCACCTGGCAATTGTGTGGACAAGCACCATTTTGAGACTGTGGAAGCTTGAATTCCTGAACAATGCTTCTCTGTGTTGTAAGATCTCAAAAAACACCCCTATATTTAGCTGTAGCTCCTGAGTGCCATCTGCTGGCTAGATGGCTGCACATTTGCAGACTTTCATACTGGGGTAAATGATGCAGAAACAATTTACAGGCAGGAAACTATGGGTTTCCATGGATGCCAGAGCAATGAGCCAAACCACAGCAAAGAAAGTGGTTTTCCTCCCTCGATGTGGTCCTTTCATGAAAACAGTAGTTATTTCTAAACCAACAGGCCCAATCTAAGACAATTTAAGGATTCCTAGTTTATTTAAATGTGTGCACACATGTGGGGAGAAGAAGCTGAAGGCACAAGCTCTAGCTCTCCTTTTTCTAGATGTTTTTAATAAGAGAAGCTACCAGTGACAAAAGGCCAGTTCAACTGGGCAGAATTAAACATCTGTGAAAAGAACTTCACTTTAAGTGGTGTTTCACTGTAACATAAAACAGATGCCATGGGAAAACATTCCCTCTTGACCTTACTGATGATGGTGGTAGACTCTCTTCTGCACCCCCTCCATCTCTACAAGGCATATTCACCACTTCGGTCCCCTCAGATGGAGAGGGCGTGGTCAACTTTGTGTGTCTTTGCCCCTTCCTTCCACAGGTTAGTAGCAATTTCTCTTCTACTGTTCAGCCAGAGCAGAGGAGAGGGGAGATGATAATCCCCGCAGAAAGACAGCAATAGTCCTCTCACTAGCAAGCATAGTGAAAACCAGTTGTAGCAAAGTGAAACTTCACTGTAAGCAGAGAGCATAAGAAAGGAAAGTCCACTGAAACACCATGGAACTTCCACTCCACTACCAGCAGGTTTTATTGTATCTGCTATCATATTTAAAATTCCTACCCCAATCAAGAGGCACAAAGAAAGAAAGTATAAAATAATATAGGCTTCTACAGATTGGTATTTGATCACTTAACTAAGTAGATTCATAAGATACTTCTCAGGTCAATTTTACTTGTGTAGCCAAGTCCAAGAGAAAGACTATCTAATTGTCCACCCTTTGCTTCATGTCCTTTCTACAGCAGATTTTGCTTATTGGCAATCTCTCAGATGCCAGCAAAAAGTTGCCATTATCCAGTTGTTGCTAATTAGCGGAAGGCGGCTTTGCAGGGCTGCAGTCAGGGAAGGCACCACTGGAATGTGTCTTCCCTGGCTGCAGCCCCACAAACACACCTGCGGACAGAGCAGCAGTGGGGAGGGGAGCTGCAGCCCAGATACTGGGGCTTTCTATGGTGTGTGGAGATGCTAGGGGCTCAAGGAGCTCCAGGGTGCTCTTTCTGCGCTCTCTGGTGCTTGGGGCTCAGCATGTCCCAGCACTTCCTTCGCTGGGAGCAGCCCCCCAGCATTGCACAGCTCAGGGAGAGGTACTGTGCAGCTATGCCATCTGGGCTGTAGCCCTCCCCACCCTGTTATTGCTCTGCCCACAACCTCCCCTCCAAACTTGCCTGCAGCGGGGGCTTTCTTCCAAAAAACCATGATGAATAAGCGGTATACCACTGCTAATATCCAATTCCATTAACATTAAAGTCAATGGTACAGGATTGGCTTCCAGCAAAATGTTGCTATTAACAGGTGGTTGTTAATATCCAGCTACTGTATCTGCTAACAGGCAAACACAAGTTTCAGTTGCATGCCTGCGGTTTTATTTTGCTGTTTTCAGGCCTAGATAACCGCATTAGTAGAGTCTTGTTGTGTACTTTGCGTATTGTAAAACTGCATCTCCTTTGACTCAACTCACACCCAAACTCACAGCTAATTTATGAGCATTTGCTATGCTGATCAACTGTTGTGCTAAGCCATTCAGAAGCCGCGTTCGCAGTGAGAGGTCCTCAAAGTCGTGGCGAAAAGGAAAGGCAATTCCATCCACAATAACCAATCGGACCTAAACATAGAAAGCAAAAAAAATGGTGTTAAGCTTGTATTCTATAAACCAGTGATGACATCCAACAGAATATTTCAAGTGTATCAGAATCTATTTCATATAAAATAATTAAAATCTTCTATTTGCTATCTGTGTGTGTCCAATAACCAATAATACACTAAGATAAAAAGCTGGACAACATTAGTGGTTGAGAATGGAAACAGGAGAAGAGAAAGTTAAGCATCAGTTACTACTTTTCAGCCTCCTCAACTTTAATTCCTATCATTTTAATTTCATCCTCACAAAAGAACAGGATGAACTTCACTGTTAAGGTAGCTCATCAAGGTACTGAGGCTGTAAGCAGAGATCAAGCTTGGAAACATGGATTTTAACAGAAATTTACACATATACCAGGCACTGCGCTATGGAGTTCAGTGTCTGTCTCCCCTGTAGATGTTTGCTTTGCTTCTTTTGGAGCATTCATTAGCTAAAACTAGAATACAAACACTGCTATAGGCTCATCACCATCCATAGCAGATGAGGATTTTGATTTATTCCAGCTTCATTTGCAATAGCTGTTATGATGGCCAAAACTGCTTCAAGTATAGGAGGGAGGGAGACCTGGTAGTCTTGTATTGTTCAAGTGCCTGGTTGCTAAAACAGCAGAATCATGGGATTCTGCAAATTCTTGCATTACTGGGCAAGGCAACAGCTTGAAAATTACAATGGGAAAACCTTGTTGTTGTACTATTGATTTAACACATCACTGGAAAATAGCTTTAGGGCTGGAACGTACAATCCTGCAGCAAATGTCACTTTGGGAAATGGCACTGGGAATCCGACAGGAAAGAAGAATTTGAAACGGGAGGTGGAGCTGAAATCAGAATTAAAACAAGACCCCCTTGCTTGCTTTCATTTTTCCCCAGGGATTCTCTTTCATAAGATTCTGTCTGGTGCCTCATATTTGGCTATAAAATTCACTCCTGCCCTTACAGGAATGAGCAAATCAGTTTAACAGTACAATAATTCAGTATACTAGAAAGGCAAATTGTATTACCCCATCTACATGCCTATCCGATTAATAGATACTGAGGTATGATGGTAACTTACCAGATTTCTTTCTATTGCATTTGTTACAAAATTAGCAGAATTGTGGGTTTAAGGCACTCAAAATAGACAATAACCTAATCTTGATAACAGTTGCCCTGTCCACACCACGGCCAACCCATTCAAGCTGAAGTTGTTTTAATTCCTATAAATCATAGTCTTCTCTGTAGGGTAGACAGTACCTATGGAAGTAACTTAGCCTTGGTGGGCAGCAGTGTATCTGAAAAAAGGATCCATGTCATTCATAATACAAAATAAAGTTAGGAGCTGTTCTGGAGTTCCCAGGCTGTGTCTTAGCTCTGAGGCTGCTTGGAGGGATTGGGCCACTTTTAACACAAAATGGCACTGCAACTGTCTGTTAGGTCACGTATTAGGCTGGAGAAGAAATCACCAGAGAGTCTTGTAGTTCCCAACCATCAGAATATCAGATTCAAAGCCAAGCATCAATAATCTGCACAGATGGCACAACAGAATAGCAGCCCTTTGCCACTGTGCTAATGAGGCTGTGTGCTCTCCTGGGTAGCCAACACAACAAGGAACCTTTAGTACCTGGCAAAGAGAGGGCAATATCAGAGGCAAGTACAACTAAAACTAAAAAGTTCATCCAAAAATGGAAAATTAAGTATTAGCTACAACCTGGATAACATTCCTAAACAATAGTCATTTGTACTCTGTTACACGGAGTCACAGAGCAGCTTGGTGGGGAGAAATTTGCCCTGAAGAATCTAAACATCTTGAAAGGAGGTGGAGGAAATCTGCATTACAATATTGTTACACTCAGAACCTAGGCAACTTTTCAGCAGTTGTCCACTATACAATTAAGCTGCAGGCTCAAGTTGCTCATAGCAACAGAAAACGTATTGAGAGAGAGAAAAGAGTCAGCCTCTGGCTGCCATGATGCTGATAGGTTCTTTTGGTGATGGATGCTGTCCTTGGGGGAGAAAACTGGCACTGTGTCATCCTGGCATCATTACATCATGTTGATGAAATGCAAACATGACCTAGAGATACATTTTCCAAGGGCACCTGTTGCACTAAGAAAATGTAGTATTTGTGGTGTGGTGCCTCAAGAGTCGTAGCATTAGGATGGAGATTAAGCAGGTTAAAAGGAAGGAAATTATTAGGAAGAGGAAATTGGTAGCAAGAACTGAGAGAGAAAGAAGCACAGATTTTTACATCTGAGGTTAGGCAGCAGTTAAATCTCAGTTCCCAGGCTCATGGTCTGCTTGGAAACTCAGATTGATCAACCTTTTCTCACACCAATGAACAAACCCTCAATGTCTTCAATACAACTCCAAATACGTAAGGTATATTTCAGCTAAGTCTGCAGTAACCCTTACCTTTGAATGCTCTGAAAGGAAGTCTGGGAGGAGGTAGACCTGTGCTAGCAGCTCTGTGTAGTCATGACAACGGAAGTAATAGATATGAGAAAGAATACTTTCAAGGGAGAAAGTCTCCAGGGATTTTTGAAAGTCTGGGGGGGGGACAAAAAAAAAAAAAATACTGTGCTCAACACATTATTACTCTCATCATTCCTCCAACCCCTGTCTCCAGCACCTAACAACAAAAACAACATTTGAAAATTTGTAAAAAAGGAAAAGGAAGTTATCGGTCAACAATTAAAAGTGGAAGGAAATTTCCTTTCCATCTGTCTTGAAAGTGGGCAGCACAATCACCTTCTAGAAATTGTATCAGAAGCTGTCTCAGGATATGCACACACATTCACTGAAACCTGCAGAGAAGACTGATGCAAAAATAATAACTAAGTTTAAAAAAAAAAAAAACACAACAATTTTGTTCAGTAATATAACTGTCAAGCCAGCTGACCAAAATGACATTAGTCAAAATTAACCAGATAATATTTAATGTGTGGGTTCTAACTCATGTGATATAGGTGTCCGCTCAAATCTGTTAAACATCAACAAGTTCTTTGCTCAATGTGGTCCTAATAGTCATATGCCAAGGCTGCTGGACCTGACACCTTGACAACTTGTCCTCCTAGCTATCTATATGTAAAATAAACCTTTTAAATGCAATACAACTTGCCTACATGTAATTAGTTTTGCACATATACCAGTATAAGAATGTTAGCCTACCATGCTGAAAGGAACACGGTTTGGTAATATACCTTCTTCCTGATGTGTTTCAGCAATAAGCTGGCAGTGCTGAACACAGGCAGCTGCAATGTCTACCACTCTGTCTACCATAAAGCTTCCCTCTGTATCAATGAAAACTGCTTCTCCAGCAAGCCCCCCAAAACATTCTGGAATCTGCACATCTACTGCCAGCTGCATACTGTCAGAAGAAACAAAAAGAGTTAAAGACAGAACGATAATTAAATAATAATATGTCATTATCTACAATCCTCCACTCCAAATTTATCTCTAAAGTGACAGTTAGTTCTGGTGAGGGGTAAACTGAGCAGGAGATATCACCAGTATCAAGATATTTCTGTAATACACCATGGAATCTGGGGTTGCAGCCATAATAACAAGAATAAAGGACTTTGGCCATAGTTACAATCAGTATTATTAAATCCCTAGTTGCACAGAGGTAATATACAAATAAAATACCATAACTGGGTTTTCCCAACACCTGGTGCTCCACAGATCTCCGTGATTTTTGTTAGTTGCACACCACCTCCCAGAATATCATCTAAAGCTGAACAAAAGGTGATGATGAAGCCTTGTGCCTGTTCTTCTGCCAAGAGTTCTAGTGCTGTGCACTTCCCAACAGCTTCCGGATCACCAGCAGTCTTTGCATTACTGTGACATTCTCTTCTTACAATTTGCAAGGTTTCTAGTGCCTCCTCTTTAGAGATTCCAATTTCTGGAGGGGAAAATAAATAAATAAATAAATAAAGCACGGGACAGTTTATTTTTACAAACAACAGGTCCCAGTATAAATAGAGAAGACCACTTCTGCTGGATTTATAGGCTCTGCAATTAGACCAGTTAAAAAGACTTCCCAAAAAGTATTAATATTTTTGGAGTAATGATGGAAACAGACTACTCATGCTGACCTATTTGTCTCCATCTTTGGAATAAAAACTAGTGGCCTGATTTTCAGAAGTACCAAGAACTCACAAATCCCACTGAAGTCAATGGAAGCTGCAGGCACTCAGCCCCTCTGAAAGAAATCAGATCATAAATTTCTTCTTCCAATCACTTAACACCAGCTTTCTTTAATATTCATTCTCTTTTGGTGATGACAGGATTTTTTTTCAGAAGATAAAGGTTCACATCACGGCCAGAAAAGCAACTGACTACCGGTTTCTATCCCACTAGAAGCTCATCATACCAACATGACACCACTAATAAGATCGGTAGGAGCTGAACCAAACACAAAGAAAGTGACTCCAACAGCAATTAATGTGGTTTGTTCAAGTTCAGGTGGGAGTGTGCATGCCAAAGAAGGGACCTCCAAATGAGAGACCAGAAGTGACCTATGTCATGGATTTGGATGGGACCTGGGAAGACAAATTCCCTGTTGTCATATCATCAGGGACTAATATAGTCAATTACTGCTCACTTGAAAAACACATCTTCTGGTTAATGGCTTCAGAATCACAGGTAATGAAGTAGTTTTAACTAAATTACAGTGACACCTAGTGGTCATAAGCAGCAAATAACACAGAAGCATATTCAAGGGCCTAAGACCTATTTCAAATCCAAGTGAAGTTATACACAGTAATGGAACAATGCAAGATACATTAATATTTCTGATAAATATATATAAACAGATATATTTATTTCACTTTGATCTGAGAAATGAGAAAAGATAAAAGCTGAGAAAACATATTTCATACATTTATCTTAGTGGATTGGAAGATCTATTCTAGTTTCTTGTGATCTATTCTAGTTCCTTTGTAAACAATTTCACACCCCTTTACTTGATTTAGAACCTGAGATGTATGGGGGTAACCTGTTACAGTTCTCCTTTCTCAGTGTCTCATTTCCATTTAGTTCTCAGCAAAAGTAGGATCCTCTGTCAAAGAGTCAGATCCTTTTTACTGAGATACAGTATAGGTAAAAATAATTAAACATGGGAAAATGTTTTCCTTTCACTTCTTCAGACTTGCATGAAGACTGGATGAGATAAGACCCTTCTCTCAGGGAGTCCAACCATAGTACTTGAGCACTGCTGAAGTTAAGTGCTTTATACACATGAACTAATTAATTAAACTAGTCAGTTGTTAAAACCCCATTCTTACCAGCAAGGTGCTAGCCTGGTTTCCCATGTAGGCGGGGGAGCTCTGTTAATAATCAATGCTCAAAATCACAGTACAGACTGGGGGAATTGGGGGAGGACATTAAAAGGAGCCCCAAGAAAAGCCCTAAGATAGGGAGGGGAGTGACGGAAGATGAAACCTGGGCTATAGTGTCTGGGGATGGAACAATGAGGGGAATCCCAGCCTATGGTACCTAAGAGAGAACGCTCCCAAGACTAGAAAAGTGGGGAGGTCCCTGGCTAGAGGGGTGCTTGGGGGTGGCTCAGGGTGGCACCTGGCCTGTAGAGAAGGGTCTTGGGGAGGATGAGAATGTGCCTAGGTAGAGGATAAGGAACATAGGTGCTGGAACTAGGGGTGCTGCTGGATTGAAGTGGTTTCCATTATATACAGGATTTACAATTTGGCTCTCAGTATAAAAACTGAAACTCATTATAAAAACTGTTCCAGCACCCCAGTAAGGAAGGGGTCTTGGGGAGAGAACGACGGCCAGGGAGTGAGGTTCGGTGGGGGCGTAGATGGGGCTTTAGAAGAAGTTATAGAGTGGGTAGACGGTCCGGGTCCGCTGGGAAGGGGCAGTCGGTGCGTGTGCAGGCCTGGCCTGGGAAAGAGGAGGGGCAGAGGGGGTGCGAAGGGGGAAAGCGCCGCCGCTGGGCTAGAGCCTAGCAATTGAGACGCGGGGTCGGGGCCTTGGCGGGGGATAAACCAAACCCCTCCCCCGATGGGTCCCAGTCCGGTACCTTTGCTGAGCTCGCAGGGCCCGATCTCCAGCAGCTCCTGGGCCGTCTGGAACCCGGCTCCGATGAGCTTAGCCCTGAGCCCTGGGGCTAGAGGAAAGCTGCCCACATCCCGCTGCATGGTCCCCAGGCTGGGCCCAAAGCCTCCAGAGCTCTAGGCCTGGGCTCCACCCCGGCCCGCCCCCGCCCAGGCCAGTCCCCTCCCACCGACCCGGGATCCCGCCCTGTCTGCGGCCCTAAATCCTTTCCCTCTGCTCGGCCCCCGGCTAGCGACTCCGGCCGGGCAGCAAGGAGCTTCTACAGCCGGGGGAGGGCGCACGGTGCGAGCCATGAGGCACTCAGCCTGCTGGCTCATACTGGCGCCCCCAGCCTGGGTGTATATAGCGGGTCCCAGGTCAGGTGCCAAGGTTAGGTTGGGCACCCCTGAAAGATGGGTAGCCTTAGGTGCTGCTTGCCCCCAGCCCTCTACCCGACCCCCCCCCCCACAGCTTTTGAGACATATCTCTTTCACCCAACCGGTGTTTGTGCGCTGTCATTTTTAGATAATAATCTCTAGGGGCAAGGGCTGTCTTTGCAGCGCCTAGCAAATCATGGGCACCATTGTAATGAAAATAGTAATCATCTCTCTTTTGTAGCTGGATGTGCAGCAGTGCAGAAAAGAGGTGAGGTGAAGAGCTAAGTTCCTCAGCTCTGGTATAAGCAATGATCAACAAAAAGAACCCCAAACATGTTATTTTTTTAAAAACTATGATTTTTAAGACATTCTTAGAGTGGGTGGACTCATGGTATCACAATGCTTGGGGTTGGAAGTATTGCTTTAGTCACCTATCCTACTTGGACCTACATGTTGGGCCCTGGCACAGCACTCTTATCTACCTCAGATGTGTGTTTCAATCAGCAACAACATTTGTAGCTGCTTCTGTGAGTGAGAGACTGGCATTTGTAATATTAGTCCAAACTCCATTGTGAGTCAGGGCACATATAGCTGAAAGAGAGACAAATCTTTGCTGGTATAGCAGACTTTAGAGCTTGCTTTATAATCTCTGTGCCCATAGGGCAAGGAAGTGTGATCAGAATACAAGATTTGACAGGCGAATTATTTCTCCATTTAGTCCTTCATCTTCCAAGAGAGAGATAAGGACAGCCCAGGAATTGCAGGATTTGTCTGAGATATGAGACTACAGTCAAGCAGCTACTTTAATTTGGTTGTGTTTAATTGAGTATAATGTTACAGTTGCCCTCACAGGCTGGGAAGTCCATTTGATCAGGCAGACATTTTAATTTAACCCCGCCATGACTATTGTGAACAGCCAATTACACAGTGGGGACTTGAGGTGACATATCTCCTGGGATCAGGGGTCACAATGGAAAATAAAAGTAGTGGTATGAGAAACCTCTCCTCAGAATAATATCCCAGTCTCGACCCACAGCCCTAATTGAGCTAATTGTTCCTGCTGAAATCTCAACAATGTAGACGTGTAAATTACCATAGGCTTAAAAGTTAACAGCCCCACTGAGATTAATGAGAGCAGCTCATATTTCTTGGTTATTTTTGTATCTCTGCATTCTGATGCAGGCAGTGCTGCATGGTGGGGGGGTACATTTATATAATTATATTTGCAAGCTGGCAGACTAGGAACTTAGGCGGTGGTTCTGCAAGCTGATTCCCGAGGCTCCGCTTAATACTGTATGTCAAAAATGAAAGACCCAGTTTGAAAAATCATGACGCTGCCAGAGAAATGTGGCTAAAATGTACTGCTGCGCCCCACCTCGCTTGGCCCCCCGTTTTGTGCACAGAGTATGTTGTACGTTTCCTGTACACTCGGCATCCTGTTACATGCACGAGGGGCACTTGGCAAGGCGTTCAATGCCTGGTGTCCACCGACCGGGATAATTACAGCCACCGCTGGCAGGTGGAGGTGGCGTCGTGTTGCCAGACGGGGTGGCTCGCTGTATGTAGTCGGTGCATGTGGCCGCGTGTTGTAGGCATGATGTGCACGTGGCAGAAGTTTGGGTGGATGGCGTAGCCTGTAGCGAGCCTCCGACTGCTCCACTGCCCATCTTGGGGCAGGTTAATCTCCGCAGAAGAGTGGTCTGGACAAACCGCAGATGAAAGCCCGTGCTGCCCCGCTTCGCACTTCATGCCAGGGAGTTGTGGCCCAGGGGAGCCTCCATACCTCCCCCCAACACCCCGCCCTCGGGCAGCTCCTTGGACCCGTGGAGCTTCCACCCCTCAGGAACTGTGTCCTGTGGGGGCCTCCGTCCCTCGCCAGTAACGGTCGCCTCCCTCGACGGTTGGCCAGGGCTCCGCCGCCACGAGCTGCTAGGTGGGGACCGAGGTATTTGGGGGGAGGGGGCGGATTGAGAGGGGGTCGGGATGGAGGAGCGAGGCGAAGAGGGGCCTGTAGCGGTCAACGGTTGTGCGGGGGGCGGCGTGCCGGGTGTTTGTGGACCTGAAGCCGTGTATTAGGGCTGAGGGAGACAGGGCTGAGTGCGGGCCCACGTGGTGGGGTGGGGTGGGGGGTGGTGGGGTGTAGGGTGAGGGTGCTGAGTGCGGGGCGCACGGGTATTGAGGTGTAGGGTGGGGGTGCTGGGTGCGTGGGGGTGGGGTGTAGGGCGGGGGTGCGGGGGGTGCAGGATGAGGGTGCTGAGTGCGGGCATGTGGGGGTGTAGGGCGGGGGTGCAGCATGAGGGTGCTGAGTGCGGGGCGCACGGGGTATTGAAGTGTAGGGTGGGGGTGCTGAGTGCGGGGTGGTGGGGGTGTAGGGCAGAGTGCTGAGTGCGGGGAACGCGGGGTGGGGGGGTGTAGGGCGGGAGTGTTGAGGGCGGGGTGGTGGCGTGTAGGGCGGGAGTGTTGAGGGCGGGGTGGTGGCGTGTAGGGCGGGAGTGCGGGGCATGTGGGGGTGTAGGGCGGGAGTGCTGAGTGCGGGGCACGCGGGTGGGGGTGT